CAAACAATTCTATCTTTGACCGTAAATTTATCATATATCTTTTAATTATTTTGAATTGCCAATTATTGTGACTTATAGTACTTTTTACGTAGTTTACAAATATATAAATTTCATTTCAAAAAAGTTGAAGATTCCACGCGCAAATTTCCGGTCAAACTTAAATTGTTTGACTCTCAAAAAATAAAAAGTGTCACATGAATTGGGACAAAGGGAGTAGTAATTAACCATAGATTACTTAGATTGACTTCAACCAAACAAATTAACTAAAGAAGAAAGGATCAACACACCTGCAAGCTGATTCTGGCTTAGGTCCAATTCTGATAAAATCATTGAGCTATCCTCTAGAAGAGCTTCGGGGAGTGATCCAGACAACTGATTGTTCCCGAGCCTAAGAATTCGAAGGGAGACTACAAAATTGAAGGACGGAATAGTACCAGTAAGCTGATTGTCACTTGCATCAAACGCCTCTAAACTGTCAAAATATGGCATTCCATCGTGAGGAAATAGCTCTCCATCCAGGTTATTATGACTAATGTTCAGATACTGAATTGACGAGACAAAGCTCGAATTTCCTACTTGCAGGTCAAGTGATCCAACAAACTTGTTGCTACTGAGGTCTACATACTCTACATCCCCCAATGAGGCCAGAAGAAGCATAATATCAATTGAGAAGGCATTAGAGTGCAAATCCAGATACTTCAATTTCTCAAGACTAGCAAACCCAGTGGGAACCATTCCATCGAGACTATTTAAAGAAAGATTAAGAGATACTAAGTTCTTTAAACTAGTCAGCTTAGAGGGTATAGAACCCCTAAACATGTTCTTGGAAAGATCCAAAAATTCTAATGACATAATCAACCCAACTTCCTCAGTAATTTTCCCACTTAACTGGTTGTTTGCAACAGACAAATTCTGCAGCATTTTTAGGCCACTAATAGCTGCAAAATCCAAAACTCCAATCAGACCTACATCATTTAGTTCAATTGAAGTGACATGGCCATCACTGCAACCGATACCGAACCAGTTTTGGGGGCAACCATTTGGTCCCAATGACTTAGAATCCCATGAAGAAAGTACTTTCCCAGAAGGGTCTTTCAAAACTCCCTTCTTAAACTCCAAAAGAGCATCCAAATCTAAGCTTCCTTTAGCTAACTCAACTAAAAATAGCAGCACTAAACAAATGGTAGATTGCATTTCCTCCCAATGAAAAACCCGTGTGACACTAACAGAGAGTTACATATAATACTGAACTAAAAAGGAAAAAAGACAGCGTTTTGACAAGCTAATAATTCAGAATGGGCCAAGAAAGTAGACAAACCCCACCAAGTAGAAAGACTAAAGATTGCACAATCATTTCAAGAATCCCAGAAAATGAATTAGCAAAATTTTTAAACACAAACTACAATCATCACTAATCATTATGTAAGTGAAATAAGAGAGTATATAAACCTAGATAAAAGAACAAGCAGCAACAACACCAGCCACTAAATTCATTGAAGTCCAACAGCAGCACCAATAATGTCCCAAAATGCAAATTGCCACCATTAAATTCACTCACCAATAACCAATACATCAAAATCAAAAGCAAGAGACCCTACATTTCCCTATACCATAAGCAAGTCAATAGGGGTTGTTATTTTAGTCAAACCAACTTTCCTTATAAAAATGAAGAAACAGTAAACCACCAAAAACCTTTCATTTAGACACAATTTTGACTAACTACTTCCAAGAATGATAAGTACTACAGATTGATACAGTAATGTAATGTTCTGTAAACAGGAAGATGAAAAGGACAGAACTTTAAGTAAAAAACCAAACTTTAATGTATCTAAAGCTAAGTTCTTGAAGAGCAAAAAACAGATCAGAGCAAAATGGGGTTAGGTGAGTGAGAAAGACACTAGTATACTAGTAATAAAGACACCATTTTTATTAACTTTTTTTTCTTCTTCCAAATCCCATCTTCACTACATGTATAAACAATTTGTGGGTTGGGAAGAGAGTAGAGTTTAGGTAAGTGTAACAGTGTAAATACAAGTGAGCTGGAAAAGTTTTTGACTTCATTCTCTTTTACAATATCAAGACAAGAAGGTAGAGGTTTTTTTTCTTGAAAACAAAAAAGCCAGTCTTTTTTTGACATTAAAAAGGGGCAAATTGTGGTCCCAAGTAAGAAACTATGCAGAGCCATGGAGGGTGTCTATATATCTATTGTGGAATATGACAAATTATGAGGTAATGGGGTTACTTACTCTTGATTCCCAACAATGGAATTTTTTTTTACCTTATTTGTTTCACTTTCATGGTCCCTATTACACATAAATACCGAAAAATCGAAAAATCAAATTGAATCGAACTAATTCAATTTTTTGGTGTCGATTCTTAGGTGTTTCGATTCAATGTTGATTTTTCCCCTAGAAACTTCAGTTCTTCAATTCGGTGTTCGATATAGGGTCACGAAACTACGGTGCAATCGAAGAATCGAAATTTTATTAAATAAATATAAATAATACTTATATATTTTAATTTTACCCAACCCATTTTAAATTTTGGAGCCCTAAACCTAAATAGGCAAATAACTAAAATCTAATGACAAAGAGTCTGTTTGAATTGACTTTAAAAAAAATGGAGTAGTTTTTAAGTAAAAAATAAAAATTTAAACTGAAATGATTTTAAATCAAAAAATAAAAAGTAGGAGAGATTTATTTTAGTTTTTGACTTATTTTAAGTCATTTTAACCTAATCAACCACCTCCTAACTTATTTTAAGTTTGGGATAATGATTTGAAAAATATCCTAACTTTGGTTGAATTTGTTGTTGCCATACTAAATTTTCATAAGGACCTATTACCTCCCTAGACTATTTAATACCGTATTTTTTACCCCTTGAACTATTTAACAGTGTATTTTAAAGATATATATGTCCACGTGGACACATTACTATTTATAATTTTGCATTATTTTTCAGACCAAAGTTGGGGTATTTGGATTTCTACTCTGTCTTCTGTGATATTTTCAGTTCTTTAATCAAGAAGTTTCGGGTTTGAGTCGCTCGGTATAAAGTCTACACCGGATGGATAAACTAAAAATAAAATAAAATAAGATGTAGAGCTAAAAATTATTTTATTAGACTATTTTTGTTTTTGTTTTTTAGCATTCAACATAGTCATAAAAGCTCTGGGCCCCTTGTTCCATATATTCAACATATTTCAATAACTAATAAGGCAAACTAAAAACTCTAGTTTATTGAGATTGATGATTCTATTTTTGGTGCTAAAGAGTAGTTTTTAATATTATATTTCATGAATTTAATAGCACTTTTTCAATATTTATAATTTCATTGTTTCATCAATCTAATCATTAGAGTATTTTAATTCAATATGCATTTGGCCATAGATTTTAAATATTATTTTTTATTCTTATTTAAAATTTATGAAGCTAAAGTTGAAGAAGAAACAGAGACCAAAAGTGCTATTTTAGTAAATTTATTATTATGTTTTTTGTTTTTTCATTCGTTTTGTGATCGCTAACATATAGAATTGATGTTTGGTAGGAATAAAATTTAGGGCATAACTGACCCTTTTGAGTACGGAAACATATAGATTGGTATGTACACAACTTTCTTATGGGGGAATTGTTGGAGCAACGATAAGATTGTCTTCGTATTTGACCTATAGATCACAAGTTCGATATCAAATAAGTAGAAAAAATATAAATTTTTAAGCTTTTTAGTTTTTTGTCTGTTAGAAATAGGGATATTTTTAACAAGTGCGTTTTGGTCTAGGAAGTATACAACAACAACATAACCAGTGAAATTCCACAAGTGAGGTCTGGGGAGGATAGAATGTATGCAGACCTTACCACTATCTCGTAGAGGTACAGAGATTGTTTCCAAACGACCCTAGGCTCGAGTGCAATAAATCCAGCTATAGAAAAATGAGACAATGTAGAGAATATAACAAATAACAAGGAACAATGCAAAAGTACAATATGATTGATCCAAAGGGCGGGTCATAGACAGATTTCTCGGTTATCCAAAAAAATCATGTGATAATGAAACACCATAAGCAACAATGATACATGTGAAAACTATTGTGAAGTACACAGTGTAATGTAATCCCACAAGTGAAGTTTGGGAGGGTAGAGTGTGTTGGGTTTAGCAAGAAGGTGTGAATGGGAAATAAAAAGAGAAAATGGAAAGTGGAAGAACCAATGAAAGTGGGGGAACCAATTTTGGAGGGAAATGAAAAGTCATTGCAAAGTGCAAATAAAAAGTCATTTTTACCATATTGGTAGAAGAAAGGAAATTGTTGTCCATATATTATGAAACACTTCCTTTAGTTCTTAAAAGGGTTAAGAAGAAGGTGTTCCTCATGGATTGATTGATATTATTTTTTTGGACAAAATTTATTTAATCAATCTTGTTAATTCATTTCTTTTCTCTTATAAATTAATTCAGAATATTAGTTAAATAACAGAATTAATTTCGCAACGAATTATTTGAAATTTGTGTGTAACGGTAAATTCGTTTGAAAGGATTTGTTCCTTCCGAAAAGTCATTACTTTTTCCAAAAGACACAATGTTCTGGAAAAAACGGGTCTAAACAGATTTGTCTGAACATAGGCGTTCCTTGCTGCTAATGGCTATAAATAAGAGGTCGTTTTCATTTTTCAAACACTGAAATTTTTTCCTCTCTGCATACATTTTCTTACATAAACAAAATTGTCGATCGACTGAATCTGTGTGTGCTCTTATTACTGTTCTTGTGTTCACTGAAGTTATTGAAGTTTGAGGTACCGCTACTACTTTTTTAACAGGTTAATCCGTTTTATCTTGGGAAGAATTAATCTACAACCTCGAGTACAGTGAGGGGATTAAATTTTTTAAGGAAACACAGTAATTTCTGTGGACTCAGATTAAAAATTATTTTGCCTATTTCATTTTTTTTTTATTTCTGTATTTGTGACTAACGTGAATACAGTTCAGGAGATAACAGAGTGATGTACACAACCTTACATTTGTTGATTGTAACAATTGGTGCTTTAATGCAGAGGATTCGATCAATGACCCATACAATTAATTAGAATGACAGAGAAGATTCAAAGGTGCTGCGAGGTTTGTCCCAATCTATCCTTTGACGATGGTGGTGATGGGTTTTTCTATTGCACTGGTTGCGGCTCTCAAGCAAATGACATCATTGACACGGGTGTCATTGCCATAATGGAGATGATGGAGTTGGGCCTGCAGTGATTAGTAATTTTGGATCATCTCAAATTTCTTTGACTTACAGAGACTATTATTCAGAGATCCGGTTGAGGTATGTTATGGGGTTACAAGCTATGATCCAAATGCGCGCAGTGCAAGACTCTGGTGGAGAAATTTAACGTAAGCCCGCTGATTGTTGGGCTTGCTGGACCTATTTGGTTAAGACTCTTGGCACATGAAAACGGGCAGACAATGTCATCCATGAATCAGAGTCTCAAATTCAAGGTCTCATTTTGATTATCAGGATATTTTCCTGTTCTTGTTTCTGTAGGATTTGTTAACAATCATTAGTTAGAAGCTGATGATTTATCAATTAATTTTAGCCTAACATTGCACGTTCGACCACTATGCTTGTTGTCACTTGCATTCTTTTGAAACACTACTTGAAAAATGCAAGATTAGTATTTCAGCATATATATCTACTTGGTTTCTAATGGGTAATCTTGTGTAACGAAAATGAAATTTCTTCTAGGATGTTGGTCCTTCACTTTTGATCTAATTTGTATAGCATGAAGGAAAATATGTTTTGTCCTCTCTTATCTTTTGTCGCCTTTCGCCGTCCAAAACACTGTTTGTTTATGACAAACTTCTGAATCATATACTCTGGCTGTCTAGCAAAGTGGGTTTGTGAAGTTTTCTATGTCATGAGTGAGAGAAGTCAGTTGGTGTAAACTCTGTGATATTATGCAGGTTGAATTTCCTTTCTATATTCACCTTTCCCTTTTAGAACCTAATTCCGGTATTTATTTCAGGGGAAATAGAACTTTCTCAGCCAACTGGCAGCCAGAAAACAGAACCTCACAATTTACTTGGAAAGAGGGCAGTAACCATATGGCATAAATCTTTGAGCAGCATGGTTCCATTACCTTGTTCTCTGGCTATCTCTTTTCTTGTCTGTCACGTGGCAAGGGAATCAATCTTGCCAACAGACATATTGAAGTGGACCTTAGAAGGAAAGCTCCCATATTTCGCTGCTTTTCTTGAAATAGAGAAGCAGTTGGGACCTCCTTCAAGGTCCTGCCCTATCAGTACCATTTGTATGTTAAGGCCTATCAGAACTGTCACCTTACAAAAGTTAGAGTTCCTTGCTGCCTCAATCGCCAGGAAAATAGGCTTGGAATTGCCTTCAGTGAACTTCCATGCTATAGCTGCCCGTTATCTCAAGCATTTATCGCTTCCTGTTGAGAAAATTCTTCCTCAGGCATGTCAAGTGTATGAGTGGTCTATGCCTCCGGAGTTGTATTTATCAGATAATGACTCCAGGCTACCTTCTCGTGTTTGTGTGATGTCTATACTGATTGTGACAATGAGGATTCTTTATGACCTAAATGGCGGAAAATGGGAATTGATTGCATCTTGTTCCAATAATTTAGTGTCTGCTGTTGAGTGTTGAGAATGGAGCTGGAGAATGCGGTTTCAGTTGCAATGCAAGAGGTGCTGTTGCCGAGGATGACTCTGCTTCACGTGATTCGGATCCTCATGACAGTATGAGTAAATCTAATTCTGATGCTTTGAAACTCTTGAAAATTATTGAAGAAAAGTTTCTTTTCTTGTTTGACAGAATTTTCAAAAGATTTACATTCATATCTTCCATACTGCAAAGATGTGGACTAGGACCTGCTTACGACGATCATGAAGAAAAAAAACTAATAGAAGTTTTTTGGGACTCCTATCAAAGCCGTAAGGTATGTTTAGTTTCCCCGTGATTAAGGTTGATTTATACGATCTTGCACCCACATCCGTAAAACCTCGTCAATATGTGGTTATTTTCTCTGTTTTGTCATCATACATGCCCATCGTAGTTCAGTCTCCCAATCTTGAATAACTCTGTGAAACCCCAGCCATCCACACAATCTACTCCACAATGCCTTTGTCACCTGACATTCAAAGAAAAGATGACTAAAGCTAGATTTTATTATCAAAAGATAGCATTAAGCCAGTGCATAGAATTAGAATAACAGAAATGTACTTAGATTCTCCCTCTGAGCCTGTAGGGATAGTCTATGAGTTTCACTAACAAGTTAGGATCATCCCAACCTTCTCAGCCTTCTTTGGCAAGGTTTAGGAAGATACCTCTAGAAAGTTGCTGATTCTTATTCTTTCGTGGACTTCTCTTCCATGCTTTCCGTTGGTCAAACAACCAACTAACCCATTTTTTACAAGTCTTTCCCTGCTCCTAGTGACTCTGGCGCTACCAGCTGTTAAGCGTGTCTTTTACATTTTCAAGTATCACCTACATAATCCCAAATAGATTGAAATCAATGGTGAGATATTGAGTTAACACACTAAATAATGTTTAACCACCTAAAGAAACATAAATACGGAGTTTTGGTGAAGTAACATGATTTGTGGTTAGTGTACTTGTTAACTAGCTCTGCCTGCATCAGTATTGTTTTACCCGTTTGGATGTTGAACATTCACCTAGTTTTCTTATTTGTCTTTCGCGGGGTTCCTATACTCGTCTTTGTTTGTTTAATATTTAATAGCTGAATTATATTTCGTTTTTAAAATAAGGCTGGCAAAGCATCAGAAGATAGGAAAACAAACTCCCACACTTGTAACAATTTTCACCATAGCGGATTCAGACATGGATGCAGCAGCACACCAAAAGAAAGCGAGAACTTTAGGGATGATGCATGCAAATGCAAATGCAAATGCAAAATGTCAAGGGACGATGGTGATTCAAACGCGACATTAAGACAGCTGAAAGCAGATATGAAAGAGAATCGATGTGAAGAAGAAAGATGGGTACATCAGGTATGCTAGAAAAGAAAACGGGGCTTATCTTTATGCAGTACATGCTGATTATTACATATTACTTCGATCTTGTGCTAAGGTTGCACAAGTTGATGTTAGGACTATGCATGTTGGAGTATTGGCATTTGAGAAAAGATTGGAAATGCTAGAAAGAAGAATACATTTTTGTTTATGTAAGAGACTTCCTGATGATTTCTGGGAATTTTGTTGCGATTGGTAAAGAAACTCTTCATATTTAGCCAACTGCCTTTGCGGAAGATTTGGTTTTGTAGTCCATTACATTCCGATAGGAGATGTATATAGAAACATCTTATTTTATTCCAATTGTAAATGAGCATATGAGATCATTTCCACGAGACATCCAATTAACTTTGTTACAAATAAATAAGGGGACTATCACATTATTGGTGTGATCTAAAGCCAGTTGATTACTCATATGAAATCAAAATTTAATCAAAAGACTTGAATTCGAGATCTCTACCTAAGAGTAAACAATTACAGGATCAATTGCTATGGGAACTGACCTGAGATTAGAGATTCTCAAGTAGAATATCCTCGGGTCCGAACCCTGAATGTGCAATCACCTTTGTTAGAGAGTTATTTACTTCTTAATGTGGGACGTTCCACTGGAAATTTGAATTTATCGAACACCAATGCAAGTATCAAACACCGAGTGGGAAGGTAGGAAATGCAGTATCTAGGAATTCTATTTGTATAATGCAAACATCCATTAACATGCATTATAGCTTAAGACATTTCTCCCCAAATAATTTTTTATCGATTGGGTTCAACATTTCACCTTATGTACACTGCAGACTTGACTGTTTTCTTCCTAAAAAAAATATAGAAAAGGTGTTGCTATCATCACCATCTTCTTTTGGCCTACTCTAAAAGGAACTCTAATCTTGTTTCCAGTTCTGGACATATAATTTTAATCGACTAAATGAAAGCCTCTTCTCTTGGGACTCTCCCCATCTCCGAGAGACGGCAAGGTATCAGCTCAGTATAATAGCACTTGTTGGCTCCAAGCATACTAAAAAATCAGCTTGTCTGAATCTTCTCAGCGGCAGCAGCTGCTGCTGAAGCTGCATCATTGAAGCCCAACTTCTGTAACTCGTTTAAGAAACCATCCATATCGGCTGCACCAATCTTATATGGGCTGTGAGCAGAGCCAGGAAATGAACCATTAGTGACTTCTTCCTTGTATTCCAGAAGAGCTTTGTTGATAACATCTCCAACTTGTCCAAACTGCTTACAGAACTTAGGAGTAACCTGCAAAAGGAATAGACAGTTCTTAATAGGTACATGGAATATAGTTCATACAAATAGCGCTAAGAGTAAGAAAAAGAGAATTGACTCCGGATTCAGAGTAAAATTTAGTTGTACTAACCTTGGCATGGTGCGGGTGTTGCATCATCCCAAGAAGATCATGATAAACTAGCACCTGCGATTAAATAACCTTAAACATCAATCGTTACAAATGATTGTGCTACTGCTGGAGAGTGAAGACATTGACAAAGCATGCTAATATCATGAGTTCATGACAGGAAATGAAGTAGGAATGTCATCCTGTCCATAAGTGGCTTCTAATTATGACCACATAAGTTGAAAATCATATTAATAATATGAGACATGAAATGAAGTAGCAAAGTCATTCTAGGTAGATCACTCATCACCCAAGTGAGACAAACATAGATGGCACAACTACTTCTAGTGATCCACCAGACAATTTATCCAACAGCTTTGTATATAAACCCGTGAGTTTTAGAAAAACTATAAGATTATGCGAAAATGTACTCCTACTGTCCAAGAACACATTTTGAAAGAAGTTCAAATTATACCACAAAGTAACTTTATCTACACTCTTACAACAGTTTCACATAAATATAATAGAACTTCAACTTTCGCCCTAATATTGTATCTAAATATAGTAGCACACTTAAACCAGAAAGCACGGAGTATATAAAAATTAGTGGGAATTTCAACCAACCTGACCACTGCAGAAAGGCCCAGCGCCAATTCCAATAGTGGGGATCTTAAGAGCAGATGTTGTTGCTGCAGCAACAGGTGCAGGCACACATTCCAAAACAACAGAAAAGCACCCTGCTTCCTGCAAGGCCATGGCAGTTTCCACAACCTGCAAAATTCATAAAAACAAGTATATAGCCTTGTTTGTATACGTCATGTGTACCCTATCAGCTTTTAATAGGTATACCTTGACTGCACTATCAATGTTTCTGCCTTGAGGCCTAAATCCACCAAGAACACTGATGGCCTGAGGTGTTAATCCCACATGCCCTATTACAGCAATCCCCGCCTCAACAATAGCTTTAGCTGCTGTAATTCTTGATGGTGCCCCACCTTCCAACTTAATAGCGTCCATTCCTCCTTCCTTTAGAACTCTTACAGCTGTATCAATTGCCTGCTCATAACACAACATCACCAAGCCATTCACATCCCATTGAAACTTATCAAGAAAAGACCCCTTACACCAATATGAAGAGGCAACATTTAATTGGCTGTTGTATGTGTAAGCAACATTCTCCGAATGCAAATGCAAGTTCAATTAGCAACATCCTCAAACATTTGAATGAAGCAGATAAAGCAATACCTTCAAAAGTTCATTTTCAGAGGCTGTGTTTTCATGCAGTTTCTCAACTTTAGACAAATCCTTCACTTCCTAAATAGGATTACTCACACTTATATCTTTATACATATAATCTGCTCTAATTTCTAGTGATATGTTCAACAGAGAAACATAAATTTGTAAATGGTAGTTGAAACGAGAACTAATTATGCAAATGATAAAGGCATAAAATCAAATAAAAACATCAATTCTGGAACAATTGAACTAGAAATGATCACCTAATTAGTACAAGACTCATTATTACCAAAATAATAGTTTTCATCTAAGTTGCTCGGACTCGGGTGCGGGTGTACGATACGGGTGCAAATCTAGAGGTCGGATCCTTCATGATCTAATTTTTTAGATTCGGGGACAGATGCAGGGATTCACCTAAACATAATTAAAGTATCTAAAAATAGCGTTATAAAACCTAAATTGTAAGATATTATGTGGAGAACCTGACGAGAATCCTAGAAGGAGATTAAAGGAGAAGGGGTGACATATAAATTTCTACATAAAACGTATTCCATTCTTCAATTTCACCTTAGCTTTTGTATTGATTGCAGAAATCATTAAAACTATCCACACTTTCCCCATCAATTTTGGTCAAAGTACCCAAAATTGGTCGACCATATCGGACACGGATCCCACACCCACACCCATGTCGTGTCGACACGGGTGCGGCACCAAAAGTAAAGAGTCCGAGCAACTTAGGTTTTCATTATCCACTATTTTCATTCTTTATCCAATGCCTCACCATTCCAAATAAGTAAAAACGTAACATCACATGACACAAGAAATTACATTAACACAAATAACAAAGGCATAATAAAGCTCAACCAATATATCAATTCTTGGACAAATTTGAGCAACAAAGCATCACCTAACAAGAACTAGACTCCTAAGAACAAAAAGAACTCTTATTTCTCCTCATTTTCTTTAACCAATTTCTCACCAGTTTAAACAAAACACAATGATACCATAGATGCAATCTAGCAACAATTCTCACTTTAAACTGAACAACAAATGATTACTTGTTGGATTAATTCATATATACATTGACAACCTAAATTTTCACATTATAATTGTAATTTAATCTATCAAATCAAGTGATTTACCCTATTTCACGACACCATATAAGGTTTGCTATGAATAGCTACACAACTATCTATGATAGTAGCCGCAATGACGGAGCAATGATTTTCACTAAAGGTAATCAAAATATAAAGAAATACATAAACAAAGAAACCAAAGATATTCAACATCTACTATCTCCGTCCAAAACAAGTAGAGATCGGTTATATGAATCTCTACTTCATTTAAGCTCATTTCATATCTTATCATACAATGTACAAAAACAACAACAATGTTATCCCATAAGTACAGTCTGGGTAGAGTCGGATAAAACAAGTTGAGGTCAGTTATATGAATCTCTACTTCATTTAAGCTCATTTCATATCCTATCATACAATGTACAAAAACAACAACAATGTAATCCCATAACTGCAGTCTGGGTAGAGTCGGATATACATGAACTTTAACCTAATGTAATGTAGTGCAGAGAGGTTGTTTCAGGTAGAACCTCAGCTCAAAAGAAGTGTAAGCAAGATATAATCTTAAAAACAACCACATCATACTACATATACATAAAAATATGTTTTCGACATAATATATGCTTTTTGACAAAGGGGATTCAGATTAACCCCTGGCTCAACCTAGAGATGGCAACTGGGCACAGCACGACAGGGCGGGTCAAAGCTTGCATGTGGCAGGACAGTTGCACAGAATAGTAGTATTATACTGTTACCTGTTTAGTACTAGACTCATAAGTGCCAAAAGGTAGATCACCAACAAGAAGAGGTCTTTTAGCACCTCTAGCCACAGCTCTACAATGAACAAGCATCTCATCAATCGTAATAGGCAAAGTAGTATCATGTCCATGAACGACCATAGATGCAGAATCACCCACAAGACATATATCAATTCCAGCCATATCTATATGAACACCAGATGGGTAATCATAACCCGTCAGCATTGTTATCGCTTCACCCTTCTTATACTTTTGCCTCAACGTCATTAAGGTTACTCTTTGATTTGGGTTTTGGGGTTTTGGTCCACCGTACACTGTGTTCTCAGGAATATTGCTCAAGAACCGCAATTTTCTATAATACCCATACCTAGTTTTGCTCAATGAAGATGAAATTCCTCTTGAAATTGAACGAAAAAACACCATTTTGGCTAATGGGTATGTTTCAGACAAGCAATGAATCGATATATGTACCCAAAAAACAGTGAAAGCCGCCCTCTTTGCGCCAACCAAAGATGACCTGAAATCTATCAAACACCAACTGAGAATTGTTGTTTATAAAAATGGAGTTTGAGCATACCTACTATTTTTTCTAGTTCGAATTTCGAGAATCAAATTTTTTTTTTCGTTTTTCATTCAGTGTCCGGAGCCTATATTAGAGCTTCAACTAAATTAGGTCGCACACTACATGCCCATTCGGGTGTGACACTTCCAACAAGATTTTCTCCATACTCAGGCTCAAATTCGAGATATCTAGTTAAGAGTGAAACACTCCCACCGGTGCACAACAACCATGTTGGTGAGAATCAAACAGTTAACACTTTGTTTCAATGGTTGTTACTAGGGGTGTCAAATGAGCGGATAGGGTTGAAATTAGAAATATTAAAATGAGTTGAAATAGAAATCGGGTTGGGTCTTGATCCGT